AAAAGTTTAAAGTGTGCGGGGGGCCAAGGGGGGGGGGGGGGGGTTAATTTGTGTTCAGCTTACACCTCCTCTCAGGACAGTGATAGGACCTCTAATATATAAGCTCGTTCTTCAGAAGGCCGAGCTCCTCTGGGTTGTTGCTATGGCTGCTCTTCCCAGTAAGTGACGGCAGCAGCACGAGTTGCTCATACTAACCAACTAGAGCCCAGAAGACATTTCTCCAGTGCAGGAGACAATCAAAGCTGACAACTGATTGGTCCCTACAGGCAGCACAGATGCTTCTCATCATCGTACCGTATAAGATGACACTGGCGTTGCTGTTGCCCAGCTTATTTGATGCCACGCAAGTATAATTCCCGTAATCCTTTTCAGAAACGTTGAAGAAGGTCAGGAAGGACATGTGATCCTTGTTCTCGATCCGGACTCCACCCAGGCCATTAGATAACCTGCGGAACAGAAACAAAATTCATCAGGTTTCCAGTCTCCCGGGAACACAAAACATGTTGATTCGTTCTGGCAGATAATCTATTCTGATAAAAGTCACTTGTCAGTTTGACTTTCTTGGGGATGTGCACGCGGTGCCAGACGGGGAGTGAAAAGATTCACCGACATGAAAGACGTCGCACGGATTCTCTGCTGTCACTATCAAGTCATGCAAAACCATCAACAGCGGCAGAACCTCCTCCTGAAATGCCGCGCGCGTTCTATCCGGCCCGTAGAGTGACCGTCTGTCAGACTGGAACCATTACTTCACAACTGCAGAGACCCCTGAACAGAGGCAGAGCCGTATGTTGGCCGTATGTTGTCAGGCTGTTATATCAGTATGTTGGATGCTCACTGTGGCATCATCAGGTCTTGACTGGCATACCTCTCACCTGTCCCTCATCTGGAACCAAACCCCTTGGTCAGGGGCGTAACTAGAAATCACAGGGCCCCATAGCAAACATTTTGTATGGGGCCCCCGTGATTGCTAGTTATGCCACTTGCAGAGCCCACCTGATATACCAAACAGCCCACCTGAGAGTGACCCTGCAGAGCCCACCGTAGACTCTCTATAGTGGGCTCTGCAGGGTCTCAGGTGGGCTGCACACCTCTTACCTGTCAGGGCTGTCCGCCTCCATGGTCGCCGGGCCCCACCTCCTCTTCTATCGCCGGGCCCCGCCTCCTCTTTTATCGAAGCGACCCAGGCGGCCCACACGGCATCAGGTGGATGCCCTGGCCGGGCCCCCCTGTGCCCGGGCCCCATAGCGGCCGCCTGGGTCGCTATGGCGATTGTTACGCCACTGCCCTCAGTCCCTCTTTCTTCCTCAGTTTCCCTCTCTTTGGTCTGATGTACAGATATCTAAAAAAAGGTTCTATTTTACAACCAAAAGTGTTATTTTCCATTAACACCTCATCCTATCTCTAAATTATCTTGTTTTCTATTTCAGAGTCAGTATAAAAAAAAAAAACTGGTGAAGAAAAGACAATTCTGGGTTTAACCAATCAGATTTAGCATTCAAATTCTTAATGGTCCACATAACTTGGGCGTGTTCATTGCATATAGAGTCTCTCCCATCCTATGGAACTCTCTACCCCAACCTGTCCGTCTATCTCCCACTCTGACTGCCTTTAGGCGATCCCTTAAGACTCATCTCTTCAGGGAAGCCGATCCCACCTCAACCCGACCACTCAACCATCACGTTCTCATACAATTCATCCCCACACAGTTACCTCCTCATGTATCACTGGCCCCTCCCCTTTTAGATTGTAAGCCGTCAGGGGCGGGGCCCTCCTTACCATCTTGTCTTGAATTGTATTGTGATTGTCATGTCTTCCTTATATTGTAAAGCGCTGCGCACACTGTTGGCGCCATATAAATCCCGTATAATAATAATATATACGTTGTGCTGGAATGCGTCCCTCTCTCTCATCTCAGAAAGTTGATCGGTATAGACTTGTAGGAAGGCCATAGATGGGGAAGGAGGGCAGTTATTTTGCTTATATAATGTGCAGTCTCCTAGACAGAGGGAGGGCAGTGTGAGGCTTCTCATTGTGGCATCATCAAGTCTAGACTTGTAGGAAGGCCACAAATTGGGGGGGAAAGGGGCACATGCCATGTCTGTGTGTGTGGTGGCTTCTACATGCTGGGGGAGACATCTTAGGGAGTGGTGGAATGGAAAGAACATTGTGAAACCTCAAACTCTCTGATCCGCCTCTGTGAATAGGAAGTGGGAAAAGCAGCGGAGCCCTCACAGTGGTTATCAACTGAAGAAAATTAAATATCCCATAATATGCCTATTGTGTGTATACCACCCTATGGAATGATAATGCAGATGAATATGGCCACCGAGCAGTTTATTTCTATAACATATCAAGGGACACTATATATTGTTGTAGATAAGTACAGTTGTCCTCACGTCCTCCACCAGGGAGGGTTTTAGCTTGTTGAGGGCGACACTCTTTACACGGCTTTGATTTACAATGTACCACCTCCATCTTCCTGACGAAGCTGATCGTGAAACACGTTAGCTGCTTCTACCCTGCTTGGTGAACCAGCTATACACAATACAAGATACAGTGCTTTAGACCCTTGGTTCTCAACTGGTGGGTCGCCGCATGCCTTCCACTTTTCTAGGTGAGGGGCTCCTCAGCACCCGCCTCCTCTTCTATCGACGGGCCCCGCCTCCTCTTACATCACTAGCTCTTAGGTCGCCGGCCCGGGCCCTGCCTCCTCCTTCACTCCGAACGCCGGCCTCTTCTGCAGCAGCTGCTGAGCTGCGTCAGTGACAGCCAGAACCCTGATATGCCATAGCGACCCAGGCGGCCCACACGGCATCAGGTGGATGCCCTGGCCGGGCCCCCCTGTGCCCGGGCCCCATAGCGGCCGCCTGGGTCGCTATGGCGATTGTTACGCCACTGCCCTCAGTCCCTCTTTCTTCCTCAGTTTCCCTCTCTTTGGTCTGATGTACAGATATCTAAAAAAAGGTTCTATTTTACAACCAAAAGTGTTATTTTCCATTAACACCTCATCCTATCTCTAAATTATCTTGTTTTCTATTTCAGAGTCAGTATAAAAAAAAAAAACTGGTGAAGAAAAGACAATTCTGGGTTTAACCAATCAGATTTAGCATTCAAATTCTTAATGGTCCACATAACTTGGGCGTGTTCATTGCATATAGAGTCTCTCCCATCCTATGGAACTCTCTACCCCAACCTGTCCGTCTATCTCCCACTCTGACTGCCTTTAGGCGATCCCTTAAGACTCATCTCTTCAGGGAAGCCGATCCCACCTCAACCCGACCACTCAACCATCACGTTCTCATACAATTCATCCCCACACAGTTACCTCCTCATGTATCACTGGCCCCTCCCCTTTTAGATTGTAAGCCGTCAGGGGCGGGGCCCTCCTTACCATCTTGTCTTGAATTGTATTGTGATTGTCATGTCTTCCTTATATTGTAAAGCGCTGCGCACACTGTTGGCGCCATATAAATCCCGTATAATAATAATATATACGTTGTGCTGGAATGCGTCCCTCTCTCTCATCTCAGAAAGTTGATCGGTATAGACTTGTAGGAAGGCCATAGATGGGGAAGGAGGGCAGTTATTTTGCTTATATAATGTGCAGTCTCCTAGACAGAGGGAGGGCAGTGTGAGGCTTCTCATTGTGGCATCATCAAGTCTAGACTTGTAGGAAGGCCACAAATTGGGGGGGAAAGGGGCACATGCCATGTCTGTGTGTGTGGTGGCTTCTACATGCTGGGGGAGACATCTTAGGGAGTGGTGGAATGGAAAGAACATTGTGAAACCTCAAACTCTCTGATCCGCCTCTGTGAATAGGAAGTGGGAAAAGCAGCGGAGCCCTCACAGTGGTTATCAACTGAAGAAAATTAAATATCCCATAATATGCCTATTGTGTGTATACCACCCTATGGAATGATAATGCAGATGAATATGGCCACCGAGCAGTTTATTTCTATAACATATCAAGGGACACTATATATTGTTGTAGATAAGTACAGTTGTCCTCACGTCCTCCACCAGGGAGGGTTTTAGCTTGTTGAGGGCGACACTCTTTACACGGCTTTGATTTACAATGTACCACCTCCATCTTCCTGACGAAGCTGATCGTGAAACACGTTAGCTGCTTCTACCCTGCTTGGTGAACCAGCTATACACAATACAAGATACAGTGCTTTAGACCCTTGGTTCTCAACTGGTGGGTCGCCGCATGCCTTCCACTTTTCTAGGTGAGGGGCTCCTCAGCCTCCCCCTAGCGCAGCACTGCAAGTTCTCTCGCCATGCAGCCATTCAGAATATGCTGCCCGGTGCCGAGTGTCAGCTTGAGGTGGGATGAGATGGTGGCTATGGCCGCGAGGGAGCTCCATTCAAACGTGCGTTGCTTTTCAGCTCCCTTACATGTCCTGTAGCGGTACCTGGACCGGAGTGACGTCACATTCTGGCTCCCGGCACCTCTACAGGGCATGCAAGGGAGCTGTACAACCGATGCACATATGGATGGAGCTCCAGCACAGCACAGCAGACCACACTGGACCCCGGGCTGAGGATCCGCTCCAGTTCTCGTAAGGAAGGGAGACCGGGGGGACGTTAAAAAATGTACATCTTGCAGAGGGTTTTGGGAGAGGTTCTCAGAGGTATTGGTGGAAAATATGAGACGTTGCCACAGCTAATTAATTTTAATGTTGTGTGGCAATGTTGCGTGGCAATACCACGGTGTTAGGTGGCCTAAAAGTCACCCAGGATTCTCAGCCAGAGGGGCTGAGTGGCTCCAGGAAGCAATTGCTTGTACCAGGAAAGAGCCGGCTTCTCAGTCCTCTCCAGGTTTTCTGGATCATAGTTGGGATCCTGGAGCCGGGAGATTTCTTAGAGCTCTGGGTGGGAAAAAAATCTCCATTCCTGGGTCCATGCTTTAGTGGCAGCCAGCACCTGATTGTGCACCTGTGTACATCCCTCATGAGGAGGGTGCTGGAGTGTGTTCAGGGCTCCTGCTGGGAAGAGGGACAGGTTGTGTCCAGGAGTCAGGCGGACTCCACCCAGAAGCCAGGAGGCTGTGTATGTGTTGGAGGCGCCTGGGAATCAGCCAAGGAGGCTTAGTGAGTCTGGGACACACAAGGGATGTGTGGAAGAGTCACATGCAGTATAGGTGACCATGCTGAGTTGGTGAGACATGGTTATACAGTTATTGACTACATGCTGTTTTGTTTTATGCTAACGTGGTCTTTGAGCGCTCGCCATTTGTGCTAAATTCCCCAAACATCACAGTTGGTAAAGCTTTTAATATATATACCGTATGTATGATAAAATATTGTGATTCTAAGTATATATAATTTCCTTGCTGATTGCTTTGGCGCTATTAGCCCTCGTTCACACCTGAGCGCTTTGTAGCGGGTTCTACGCTCGACGAACGCTCTACAAAACGCTCAAAAATATAAATCCCATTGTATTCAATGGTCTCGTTCCCACCTTGGCGTATTTCCGCCCGTCCTTAACGCGCTACAAAACGGCCCACGCCTGAAAGGTCTGGTTCACACCTAGGCGTATTGCATACGCGCGTCTGTCGCGCGTTTTCTAAAGGGATTCGCGGTAAAAAGTCGAGCGACAAACGCGCGTTTCCGAAGGCTACTTGGCTGTATCCCAATGGAAACGCGCAACAAAACGACCCAAAGTAGTACCTGTACCTTTTCAGGCGTGGGCCGTTTTGTAGCGCGTTAGGGACGGGCGGAAATACGCCGAGGTGGGAACGAGACCATTGAATACAATGGGATTTATATTTTTGAGCGTTTTGTAGAGCGTTCGTCGAGCGTAGAACTCGCTACAAAACGTTCAGGTGTGAACGAGGGCAAAAGGTACAGGTACTACTTTGGGCCGTCTTGTTGCGCGTTTCCATTGGGATACAGCCAAGTAGCCTTCGGAAACGCGCGTTTGTCACGCCACTTTTTTAATGCGAATCGCGGTAAAAAAAAAGCACGCCGGTCGCACGACAGACGCGCATATGCAATACGCCTAGGTGTGAACGAGACCTAAAAGTCCCATATGTACAAAGATCATTCTAGTCCTATAAATAGGGGATATGGTGGTGCGATGACCCATAAATGCGACATATAATGCTCTCTGTATGATCATGTCTAGACTTGTAGTAAGGCCACAGATGTATAATGTGCAGAGTCTCCTAGACAGAGGCAGGGCAGCTGTACGATGAACCTCCGGCAGTTCCAAGGAGCAGACACAAAGACACCCGAGTGTCACTATACACCGGCGATTGTTCAGCATTTATGAAGGACCTGAAAAGCCGTCTTCGGTAATATAAAGAAGAGTTTTCTTTTTCTCGTACAATGTTTTCATTCCTCTTCACCAGCCAATGCGGTTTCATTGTGATCTCCATTGCAGCCTGAACGCCAATGAGAGCTGCTTCTGGTCTTTGTGTGCACACTAATCCATAGCGGGTTAATGAGTCCTCATTATTGCAGTACGTTCAGCTGATTGTCATAAATCTATCATCGTATTACTGATGTTGTATATCTCGTACACGGTAACCTGCCAGCGTGCTGCAGCAGGAAGACGCCCACGTCAGTCACACTACTGGACACATCTGCTCTTCATTTTGGCATTAAAGAAGAATGCAAATTCCAAAAACAAGATACAAATGTTATAAAAATGACTCAGAAATGTCCTTGGATGTGAATACAATTCTGAGGCCAAAAATAAACAGCATCTGCATTCTATTTATACGCGTTTCTTGTTCCCTCACATTCCGGAGGAGGGAGCACGCCGCTATTATTCCTTTACTCTCAGCTGTAGGGTCACAGCCAATTGCACCCAACGTGCTGATCAGTCTTGTATCTCCTTGTAATATTAGATAGAAAACGTGGGATGATGTCACCGATATGTTCCTAATTCATCCAGGTAAACAAAGGTTCATAGTTTAGAACTTGTAGACCTCAATGAACACTGAGCTGCTAATGAATCTCCGGCAGGACCTCTAGGATTGCGGTTGTAGATAAGAGTCATCAACCATCACCTCACAAGCCCTCACAAGCCCTCAGACCTGGTGACTGCAAAATTAGCCGGAGGAGAGGTCACCCCATGCTGGAGGCACCAAACTGTACGCTTGCACCACCCATTTGGCTTAGATCAGTGGGGAATATGGTATGTCGCTCATAGAATCCAAAATATGAGTTACAGGGAGATGAAATGTTCCTTCTGATAGTACACATTATGAGCTATGTGCAGATGTAAAATGGTAGAACCGCCATGGACCAACAGTTCAATGAACCCTGCTCTTGGCAGTCATGAGGTGTTTGGACTTGCTGTGATCAGGCGATGTTCTGGTGTTGGAACTCCTTACTCTGACCCAACCATCAGAACCGACTAGTCCATAAAACCTACGGCCAGTTCAGGAGGCAAGAACTCTACTCACACCAGGTGAGGTGCCGGCAACAAAGGTGACTGGCCAAAGAGGAAGTGTCTATCCCGCACATTTTCTGTATAAATGGAGTAGCGTGATAAAAGAACTTTGTCTGAAAATGAGTTAGAAACATAGAGCGTAGCGATCTGGGCAGGGGGCGTAACTAGAAATCACAGGGCCCCGTAGTAAAATTTAGTATGGGGCCCCCGTGATTCCTAGTTATGCCACTTGCAGAGCCCACCTGATATACCAAACAGCCCACCTGAGAGTGACCCTGCAGAGCCCACCGTAGACTCTCTATAGTGGACTCTGCAGGGTCTCAGATGGGCTGCACACTTCTTACTTGTCATCGCTGTACGGCCCCATGGTCGCCGGGGCCCGCCCCTTTTTCCGTTCCCGGGCCCCGCCTCCTCTTCTATCGACGGGTCCTGCCTGCTCTTAGGTCGCTGGCCAGTGATGTAAGAGGAGGCGGGGTTGCTCTTAGGCGGGCCCCGCCTCCTCCTTCACTGCGAACGCCGGCCTCTTCTGCCGCAGCTGCTGGCTGTCACTGACACAGCTCCGAAGCGGCTGTGAGGGGGAAATCAGTGATCTTCACAGGCGCTGCTGAGCTGTGTCAGTGACAGCCAGCACCCTTGCATGCCATAGCGACCCAGGCGGCCCACACGGCATCAGAGGCCGGGCCCCCCTGTGCCAGGGCCCCATAGCGCCCGCCTGGGTCGCTATGGCGATTTTCACGCCCCTGGATCTGGGTCATTCTAATGCCGTTCTGCACCGTAGCGTGACTCAATGATCTTCTTTAATGGGCAATATAAGAGATGTGGTCACACAGCCTCGGGAAATGGTTCAGATAAGACCAAAAAGCAACATTAAAGTATCACCTCAGATACAATCTTACATGGTGGCAGTGCTGGGACATGGTCCTTTAGCACTCAAAAAAGGCCAAAGTGCCCCCCCATACCCCCCATGAGCTGTGAACAACTTCAGTGGTATAGGTTGCAGTTGTAGGTCCTGCCCTTTTTGCACCCCCCCCCCCTTCCTACTGAACTCCCCAAGTGCCCTAACCCTTGTCTGTGTACCCCTTAGACCCGGCCCTGGTACCAAAGCCTGCAATTTGATGAATTGTCTCCACTCACATTCATACTACGACACCTAATTCATCTACAATACATCAAAGCCAATTGTAATCTCTACCTGCTGATGTCCCTGCAATGTAGTGACAGCACGCAGCATCCCCCTATCATGATAAAGGATTATGAGGATTTTTCACAGAGCTCATACGGAATCCTCCCAGACTCACCGAGCGTCTTCCTTATACCACTGAAATTCAGCCAGCGGGACGGCCAGGGCGGAGCAGCGCAGGATGCCTTTCTGTCCCACAGACGCTCCCGTGTTCCTGGCATCGGAGATGAATGGGGGGTCTGCGAAATGGACACAAACATTTCAATGTCAGCTCAGTGATATCATTCTGGGGTATGTTTATCAAAGATTTAATGGACTATTCAACCAACATTCACCCTATGAATGATCCCGACATTTACCTAGTGAAAAAAAAAAACAATTTCCTGACTTTCAGCAACATCTGCTCTTCAAAAGGAGAAGGTCTTCAATGTAACATTCACCCAATTCAGAAAAGGTTGAATGTTACCTTCCCCGCACATTCACCTGACATGTTTTCAACCAATTTGTGAATAAAATCCGCCTGGCTGAAATCTTTGCCTATGTCAGTCCAAGGAGAGCGATGGACACCTTGTGACAGTGAACCCTACAAAGCTCTCACTATGAAGAGCTCCTGACGTCAAATGTACCCGCACGCCTAAAAGATTTTCTATACGGCTTCTATACAAGTGATATTGCATCTGCCTGGTGCTCATTCATCCAAGAATAAAAGAGTGAATGTGACTGGGCTATGCCAGGAGAATGACATTGAATGTACAATAGAAGTAAAGGGTTCGCTGGACAAATTTCCCTTCATGCAAAAATACGTACATATAGATCCTACCTGCTGGTGTGTAGTATATAGTGCTGGTATATGGTGTACATATAGATCCTACCTGCTGGTGTGCAGTATATAGTGCTGGTATATGGTGTACATATAGATCCTACCTGCTGGCGTGCAGTATATAGTGCCGATGCTGGTATATGGTGTACATATAGATCCTACCTGCTGGTGTGCAGTATATAGTGCCGATGCTGGTATATGGTGTACATATAGATCCTACCTGCTGGTGTGCAGTATATAGTGCCGATGCTGGTATATGGTGTACATATAGATCCTACCTGCTGGTGTGCAGTATATAGTGCCGATGCTGGTATATGGTGTACATATAGATCCTACCTGCTGGTGTGCAGTATATAGTGCCGATGCTGGTATATGGTGTACATATAGATCCTACCTGCTGGTGTGCAGTATATAGTGCCGATCCATCATATTAACAGAAGAAGAAGAAGAAGAAGAAGATGTCACTTACAGTTGACTGTGATTCTGAGCCTGCGGACGTCTGGCGTGGACACCTCATTGGCAGCGCTGCATTCATAGAGTCCTGACTGATCCCTGGTGATTCCTGTGATCTCCAAATACTCGTCATCACCTACAAATCCTCGAGCTGGAAGATGCGGAGGACACACGGACACACGGTGAGTTTCCAGACACAGAACACCAGATAGGAAAATATAACCACAATATCAGCCATGCTGCTCTGCCATGACCCCCAATACAAAGTCTGCACAGTTCAGGTGAGTAGAACTTTTTTTTGGGTTTTGTCTCTAGATGAAAATGAGCACTTAACCCTTGCAGTGCGGGGGTACCCATGCCGCAAGGGGTTAGACAAATTATGCCTGGAGTTCTTCTTTAAGTAGTTAATTTGGAACAATGTTTAGTTGTGTGAGCCATGACAGTGGAAAACAGACTCTGGGGACCCGTCACTACAACCTACTGCCTGCTGACCTCTGCTGTGATTGGTAAATGATTGTGAATTGTCTACAATGTCCCGACATTGATTAACCAAACCAAGGTGTGACCTGTAACAACATGCAAACTTTTTTGTAACTGCAAGTGGAAGCATTGAGCTGAATAGGACAGAAGACCTATGAGGGGAGGATATAGTGTGGCTCCATGGGCAGGAGAGGATCTATGGTTGAGAGGATATAAAATGGATCTATGAGCTGGGGTGGACAGGTAACCTATGGGTGGGTCAGGGCAGAGGATATAAAATGGATCTATGAGCTGGGGTGGACAGATAAGCTAAGGGTGGGAGAATATAATGTGGCTCTGCAGGTGGGGGAAGAAAAGAGGTTAGGAAGAAACTACGTGGATCTGTGGGCTGGGGAGCACGTGACCTATGGATGTGAGTTTATAATGTCTATAGTCAGGGCAGAGAAACAGAGGATATAAAATGGATCTATGGGCTGGGGTGGACAGGTAACCTATGGGTGGGTCAGGGCAGAGGAATAGATAATCTATGGGTAAGGGGATATAAGGTGGATATACTGTATAGCCAAAGTAGGAAAGAAGGATCGATGGGTGATAATGATACGAGGTGGATCTATGGTCTAGGGAGGAAAGGTGGATCTGTGGGAGGATCTATGGGAGACAGAATATAAGGTGGATTTATGGGCTGGAGAAGAAAGGAGGATCTAAGGATGAGAGGATATAAGGTGGATGTATGGGCTTAGAAGAATAGAGGATCTATGGGAGACAGAATATAAGGTGGGTCTATGGGTTGAGGAGGCTCTATGGGAGAGAGGATTATGGGCTTAAAAGGAAAGGATCATCTAGTGGTGAGAGGATATCACACAGATCTACAGGCTAGAGAGCAATGGAGGATCTATGGGTGAGACAATATAAATTGGATCTATGAGCTAGGAAGTACCTATGGGCGGGACGATATAATGTGACTCTATAGGTGGCAGAGGAAAAGAGGAGATGAAATATATATTATGGGCTGGAGAGGAATGGAGACTCTATGGGCAAGAGGATATAAGTTGAAGCTACAGGCTAGAAAGGAAAGGAGGATCTATGGGTGAGAAGATATAAAAATACATCTAGAGACTGGGAAGGGAGAGAGATCTATAGGTGGCAGAATACAAATGGGAACTATGGGCAAGAGAGGAAAGGAGAATCGATAGATGGGATGGATGTAAAGTTGCTCTATGGGCTGGGAAAGAAAGTAGGATCTCTGGGTTCAAAGGGAAATAAAGGAAATCTACGGGTGGGGTTGATCCTATTGGTAGGAGGATTTAAATGTACCAATTGGTGGAAGCATATAAGCCGGCTCTAAGTGCTGGGGGGAAAGGGGTATCTGTGGGTAAGAGGATATAAGGTGGATCTACGGGTGAGAGGATATAAGGTGGATCTAAGGGTGAGAGGATATAAGGTGGATCTACAGGTGAGAGGATAATAGGTGGACCAAAAGGAGTTGTTTATTAGACTATGGAGGAAAGCTAGTGTAACAAGTGTATCTTGTCCTCTAGAAACGTGAGCATAACAAGGCACACGTACCCAATTATGTTCTTTAAATTGGGTTATAATGAACATTAACACTTTGACTGTTGGCCATTTATAAATACACAAATCCTCATACCCAGTAATTAGGGCTGACCTTGGAAATCAGAGAGAGTTTAAGTATTCCGCTTCCTGTCAGCCCTAATAAAGAAGTGCATGGCAGATTCAGTACAAAGGGAAATCACACTCAAGTGGCTAAAATCGACACAAAAATCATGTACCTAAGGCTGGATACGTCTGATCTCACCGAGCTATTACCAGCAGCGAGTCAGGCCCCCCAAATGTTTCCCCAGGCTTGTTGGAATGTCTATTCGCCTTCTGAGGAACATACCGGAGGATATGTCAGTTGGATTTAGGGTGCCATATAAAAAGGTGTCTGTGATCTGGAATACCCATGGCAGCCAACGGGTGAGGCCTGTGGAAGATTTCTAGAAGCTGATGATGTCAATTAGTCCTCACGTCATAGTGAAAATCTCTCCCCGTGGGGTGAATGATGGAACTAGAAGGATCTATTCTTGACAATCTGGACATGAGACACCATGGCAGCTATCTGATGAATCTCCTTGGACCGGCTCCTGCCAGCTTTTTGCACTGAGCCATGCTCGGCAAAGACAGGCTGACGGAACATCTGCAAAGCTGCACTGTGCTCCTCCAGCATCATACAGCCCCCATCTCTAAATAATGCATTGAAGATGGCAGGCGAAGGTTTCACAGTGTAGTTGGCGCTTTGTGGTGAGTCACAGCTCCCGTGAAGTGCTGAGCTGGGAATACATCCCCTCCACCATTATCTGCATATAAATAGAATCTTGATTCCACAAGGAAGGGGGGTGCAGGGGGCATCTTTCTCTGTCACTGGTGCTCATTTTATAGGACATTAAATCCTCCCCTTTATTTCTGTCCTGAGCCTAGAAGCGGTCGGGTGCTGCTGACTGTATTCATTAACAAACTCTCCGTTTATCCTCTTCCTTGCACTCCCTGTGCTTATTATGTCACCAGAGATCCAGGTTCTTCTGTCCCCTCCAACTTTTACCCCAATGTCTGGCTGCCTCCCCTCCTCTCTCTCTGTGACTTCAGCAAGTGACAGAATGGGGACAGACTGTGCAATGCCAACAGCTCAGGGGAACTTACCAGCATAGGGATGTGGAAATAGAAATGTGTAGAGTTTTAATTAGTTCTTACACTTAATATGCAAATGTTCATGTCCTTCTTAGGTTGGGTAAAATGAGACTTTTATTTAAATGTGAGAAGTGCTTAGAAGAGCTAATTAAGCAGCCAAGAGGAGATAGAAAGGGAAGCTTGCAGCGACACCTGTGTGTGTATAAAATCAATATATGTTCTTTGTGTCACTTCCAGTCTGGGCACACGTTTCCTCTGGATTCATCACTCCGGGGTCCTCGGTGAGGAAGAATAGGTTAGACTGCGCAGATGCCTCCATGGAGGTGTCGGAGCAATAAAACATGCCACCACATTGTAATAATAATAATGGTGGGGGAAGAGGGGGTTAATGTGAGAACGTTGTTGCTGTGCACTCATAGTAATGACAATCCCAGCATCCCCTGTGTCCCTCGTTAGCTGACCTTGCTGTGAAGCTGCTTGTTATAATTACCAAGATTAAAAATTATGCTCCAATTAAAACAGACCACCCGGGGAACGGGGGAAGAATCTTCACACCAATTCAGATCAGAACAAAAATATGCCCATTATAGCTTTACGCCTCCAGCTGAGCCACCGAGGACGAGTGCTATCCTACCACAATGCTCAAGTCACGCTCACATTATAAGGTATGGCAAAGACCGAATACCGAGCACCGTACACCATTAGGTATGAAAGAGACCACACATCAACCACAACACATCCTATGGCATGGAAGAGACATAATACCAAACGCCATATACTTTAAGGCATGGCAGAAACTAAATAAATAACTACCGCACACCATAAGGTTTGGCAGAGATCAGATACCAACCACCATACCTTTAAAAGCATAACAGAGAGTAAATATCACCTAAGGCATGGCAGAGACCAAATACCAACCATCATATATCATAAGTCATGGCAGAGACTGAACCAACCACCATGCATCAGAAAATATGGCAGAGACCGAATACCAACCACTATAGAGCATGAGGCATGGCAGAGCCAGAATACCAACCACCATGGATCAGAAAATATGGCAGAGACCGAATACCAAGCACTATAGAGCATGAGGCATGGCAGAGACCAAATACCAACCATCATATATGGTCAGGCATGGCAGAGACTGAACCAACCACCATACATCATGAGGCATGGCAGAGCCAGAATACCAACCACCATACATCATGAGGCAAGGCAGAGACCAAATACCAACCACCATAGCACATCAGATGTTATTGCCACTTAGCATCATATCATATCAGGGACACATGAAACAGGAACATTCCCCAGGGGTCACTTCTGTATATAGGCTTGGTGTGATGTCTTAGCTGCTCATTGCATTCAGTTTGAGATCAAAGCTGGTCATATATGTGCAGATATCTCCCAGAGAAAGATTTAGACCTTCTGTGATAATAATAATCAGCCAATGCAGGAGCAGCTCACACTCACATCTAGTTGGAAAGCTTGGCTTCAAAGACGTAATTGTGTAAATGCTGCATTGAAAGGTGTTTGCAGATCATATGCAATCACTTCCATTGTCTTTGCAATGATATCTGCCAGATTTGTAGAAAAATGTAGGTCACCAGCACTCTTTGATTGTCTTTGATTGTCGTGACACAATTGTCCAATAAAAAGGACTTATTCATTTTTGAATTATTTTTGAGTGCTGGTGACCTATATTCTTCTACTTTGTGTTTTGCACGGTGCCATCCGTGATAGTTACTGCTACCGTGACAAATGTAGACATGTATGGCCATTCTAAAGGATTCAGGATCCTTTAATACAACATTTGTGCAGAGTGATGGAAAAGTGAGAGTGAGTATTGTCCTTCCATCATAATGAACAATTGTCTATGTTAGTGGAATCTTTCACACGCTGGACCCGAGAACACTGACCGTAGAAACTATACGATACAACCTCAAGATTTGCCACAGACACTCACTTTACAAAGTGTACTCACATTTCTCATTATAGTGTTTCCACGTCACAGTCGGGTCAGGTCTGCCACTGGCCAAACATCGCAGAGTCACCGTGCTGCCCTCATTCACTGTCAGGTCTGAAGAGATATTCCGGATTTTTGGAGGAACTGTTGGAAAAGAGCAGAGAGCGGGGGTGGGGGGGGGACGAGGAGAGAGAGGAGGGAGAGAGATAGAGGGAGAGAGATAGAGGGAGAGAGATAGAGGAGAGGGGGAGAGAGAGGAGAGGAGGAGAGGGAGACAGAGAGGGGGAGAGAGGAGAGGGAGAGAGAGAGGAGAGAGA